TCCTTCAGGTCCCCCTCCAGCAAGATCCCTTTGTACCAGATTTTTTCAGGGCTCTTTCTATGGCCAGGCCGGCAGCGGTCAGGTCCTGTCCAGCTTGGGATCTATCTTTGGTTCTAAAAGATTTGGTCCTTTCTCCCTTTGAACCTTTGGAGAAATCTTATATAAAGTTTTTAACCCTAAAAACTGTATTTTTGGTAGCAATCACAAATCGGTCCATAGGGTGAGTGAATTGCACGCACTTTCCATTATGGAGTCCTTTTTGGCACGTTTTCGAGGATAGAATTGTGCTCAAAACAGATCCTCGGTTTCCTCCCAAGTTTTCCTCCTCCTTTCATAGGTCTCAAGATTTAATTTTGCCGACCTTCTGTTCTGCTCCCGCAAACAAGGAAGAGGAAAGATTGAGTTTATTGGATGTGAGAAGGGGCCTTTTGGGCTTAGTAGATCCAGAGAGTTCAGAAATTTCGGACTCTCTTTTTGTTCTTTTTGCAGGAGCGTGGAAGGGTTCCAAGGCTTCCAAATACACCATAGCTAGATGGAGTAGGATGGCTATTGCAGAATCGTGCAATTTATTAGAGATTCCACCCCTGTTTGTTAATGCACACTCAACCCGATCCTTGACAGCATCCTGGGCAGAGAGAGTCAGTGCCTCGAAGAACAGATCTGTAAGGCGGCCACCTGGTCCAGCTTTTCTACCTTTTTGTGAAACATTTTCAACTGGATCTGCTTTCTATCAAAGATCAGGCATTTGGGTGCAAAGTCCTCCAGGTAGTAGCCCCTCCCTAATGGGTAGGTTCTTGATTATCATCTCAAGGGGGCTGTCCTGGAAGACGTTTTGAGAAAAACCAGAGTTAGACTTACCAGTAACTCATTTTCTATAAGTCGTCAAGGACAGCCGGGATTTCCCACCCTAAGATTGAAAGGTAATGTATGTTTATGCATATATGGTTATTTCTTTTAGTGTCTTCCTGTGGTTCTTGGGTGAAACTGATGAGGGAGGCCTGGAGGTCCGCCTTTTAAAGTACTCTGCTTACGTGTTTCCTGTCCCTGAGGGAGGAGCTCTACGTCTCAAGGGGGCTGTCCTGAAAGAGTTATAGAAAAGGAGTTACTGGTAAGTCTAACTCTGGTTTTTATATTTTACACAAATGTTTTGCCTTTCATTTCTATTTTAAACTGAATGGGTTGATTTACAAGGTGAGGGTTAACCTATATACTATATATAGCATGTGCAACTCACATACAGTTCAGTAACGCTCTAAAGCTGAACTCTAGGCAGAAGTTAAAAACACGGCAGGGACTGATGTGAATGTACAATATATGTGTAAAGCGCTGCATAAATTGATGGTGCTATATACAGTACGTACCTACAATAAATAAACATGCAAGCAGTATAGGAACCTATATTTGAACTGGTATCTGTCTCTTGTTGTACAAAGACCCAAACAGGTCGTTCTGACAAATAACATGCTGAAAGGAACAGAGGCCATAGTGATAGAGACCATCGCTGTGTTGCATCTCCTTTTACCTTCCTCCAGTCACAGGTTGGAGGGTAGGTCAATGATGATCAGGGCTCAGAAGGAGTGAGCTGAATAATGCTGACCATCATACTGAGAACATCCTAGCAGAGAAAGAAAAGTAGTTCAAGGTAAATCTCTAGATTGAATGTGAATACTGTATCTTTTATTTCATATCCAAAATAGAAGTGTGTCCATACGTAGTTTTCTCTTGGTTCCCCTGCAAAGTCCCACAAAAACCTGTCAAGCCTGCCAGTGAAGTCCACTTAATGCTGCTTCCTGTGAAGGTATGGCAACGATGCTGCAGCTGCAGTTCACTCCTCATGTAAGCTGTGCCTGTATCCACTACACTGGGATGAGGAGATGCTGGGGCTGTTATCAGCATTTTCACTACAGACTCTCATGCCTGTAAATTATCAATCAGCACCTGGCCATAGCTTCCCCTTCCTATATTTTTCTGGATTGGCAGCGCTGCCTCTGAATCCCTCCCACACAAATGAAAGAGAGGATTTGGCTCAGTCAGGGAAGGTAGATTGTGTTTTTGTTCACTTTTATGAGGCTTGTGCATCACATAACAGAATTTTGGATTTATTTGGACTGTCATGCAGGAGCCTTTAGATTTACATGAAAAAAAGTCTGTTTACAGGCTCCTTAGGTGCAATGTCCATAAGCCTTTAGAAGTAGATAACTCCTCTTTATTGGGTGAGGTTTCAGTCAGAATAAGCCACAAAGTTATCAGGGTTTGCTGTACTCTTTCTTTAGCTAACCTATCGTGCTCTGGGAATGCTTTACCATACAATGGTTCCAAATTCATTATAGGTTGCCTTTTTAGTTTTAGTTTTTTTTTTAGATCTACTCTTTGCATTTATAGATGTTTTCTTTTGTAGGTGGGACAACTGAAAATGAAAATGTTCTCAGTCATTCAGTGCGAAAACACCTCCGAAAAACTAGACTTGAGGTTCTTCAAAAAGAGTATGAGGTAACCTAATTTGCCTATATTTTTGAGTACATATGCTGTAGCTAAAGTCATGACCAAAAATATTGACCTGCATTTCTGTCAGATAATGCACCACTTCACCCAGAACATTGTTGCAATTACAAATGGAAAAGGAACCCTTCCAATCTGGGAGACCTGGAGCAGTTGGTGAAAGAAGAGTGGTCCAAAATTCCAGTAGAGAGGTGTAAGAAACTCCTTGGTTACTGGAAGCGATTGATTTCAGGGGGGGTGCTACCAAGTATTAAATTGAGGGTGCCAATAGTTTTGTCCAGTCCATTTTGGGGGTTTTGTGTAGAATGTGCCAGATTTGTTTTTTTTTTTTGTTTCTCCACTTTTTTGTGTTGTACCAATACAAACAAAACAAATAAACATGAGAGTGCCTAAACATTTGTAATTGCAACTATTTTCTGGACGAAGTCATGCATTATCTGACAGAAATGCAGAGGTGACAATATTTATGGCAATGACTGTATGTACTGTTTTCAGCATTCCGCATGTAATTGTTGGAGGAAATTTTATGTTACTGTTCCAGTCACTTTGGGAAACATTTTTTAACCGTAAATCCGACATTTTCAAACATTCATTTTAAGTGAATCTTTCAGATACATGTGTTTTAATTGCTTCACCACCAGTAAATGTTTATAATCACTGCTTTTATAAATATGCTCCTTTTCTGTTCTCCTGGAACTAATACGAGGAAAGTCCTTTTTTTAAAGTGATAATAAACCCTTTCATAAGCCCACTGAAGGGACTAGCCTCTGGCAATACACCGTAAATAATTTAAATCCTCCTACTAAGCTGTTCCTGTTTATCTGCAGCCTTCTCTCCTTCACTTCTTTCCAAAATACACAGTTGAGATCAGGATTTCTCAACCAGGGTTTCTTGCGCAATGATCAATTCTTGCCTCTCTGATAAGTTCCCACTGACACCATGGATCTTTTTGGCAATCTGTAATTCTTCCCAATGGCCAGAATTGTAAGGAGCATTCTTACCTCTGACCATAAAACTAATGTATCATGTGTTGTTCCTACAATACTTTTTTAGCAGGGGTTCCCTGAGACTGGAAAGTTATTTCAAGGGTTCCTCTCTGTTAGAGGCTGATTTAGATGATATTTCTCAGCTTGCAGGAGAAAAGAGGCTGTCATTCACCTGCTATGTGCTGTGGGGGGGGGGGGGGGGGGGGAAGGGGGGGTGTCTCCAAGGATTGCCTGGTGTCTGGAGAAATTGTCAGAAGTGATTCATGCAGATAGCAAAGGATTGAGAGAGCAGACAGAATCTACACTAAATGCAGTAGGTTGAGGCACACTATATTAAGATATGCTTTGTTCATCTTTGTTTGCAGATTTGTATAGCCACTTAAAAAAAAAAAAAAAAAAAAAAATCAGACTTTCCATCATGAACCCTCTATAAGGTACAAAATACTTTTTCACTTTTACTTTTCCGATAATTTGTCTAAGAAATCGCAAGAAAAAATTGGCAAATCCGAGATAACTTTATTCTGATAGGTAGAATAAAGTAGTTCATGCCTGGTTCCTTAGACGCAAAAATGAAGTAAACTCACCATCAGGACCCTCCTTCTAAGGAAGAACACACTGGATGTGGATAAGACTGTATAGAAAAATAGGACTTTTGAAAAGTGTCTGAACTGAGAATCTTTGTAAGCAGCTACCAATTAGAATCTCCCTATCATGCCTCTGTTGGGGTGACGCTGGGAACAAGGTTTGAAAACAGATCTTCATTCTAGTTGAGTTTTACTCCCTCACCCCCCTTCTTTAAAACTATGGAATATTAAAATTCCTTACCGCATGTTGGGTTCTACAACATGTTGGGTTCTACAACATATTGGCATCCACCCCAACAGGACACAGTAGTGATGTGAGATCTGAGGGGATGAACCACAGCATACATCAGGGTGCCAGGCATCTGATTTTGTCATATGTGAAGATTCTGCTGGAGGCTGTAGCTCTTGCAGATCCCACTGAAGAGGTAAGCATTAAGAGCCTTCTTTTGCTGTCCGCTTTTTGGATTTTTGTTTTCAAGTCAACCTATTCACTTAAAAGTACACCCTATCATGGAGTCTTGTTGACGTCTTTCAGAAACTGTTTGTAGCCAAATGATCAGTATAATAGCCAGGCAGTTAAGATTGAGACACTGACCCATAACAAGTATTTTTATCAGGAAAGTCCAAGGAAAGCCAAATCTACATGCCTTCATACTTGTCTGAGGTATAACTCAAAGTATTGAAGCCTGAGGATCAGTAGGGCTGCAATAATGACACTTGCAGAATGGAAAGTTGGCAATGGCAAGGTCTATAGCTCTCTAACGCAAAGTTCTCCTTAATCCAGGCTTACAGTGCAAGACGTATTGTTAGGAACACAGGCCACGTGGCAGAATTTGCATTCTTTTGATCTCTTCCTTAGCCATCCTAACTTTTGGACCACTTAACACAACAGCCCAACATATATTTTTTCTTTTTTTAGGATGAAATTGAATACCTATTAAGAGAGACCGAAGAACTGAGAACAACAAATCTTACACTAGAAGAAAGGCTTCATAGAGTTGCTGGTCCTGTCACCAAGTCGTCACCTTGCAGTTGTGGAAATAGGCAAGCAGAGGACAATAACAAAGTTTGTAATAAACTGCTAGAGGACTGGAACAAAAAGCTTGAGGAGGTCAATGCTGCAAATAAAAAAGTTACAGAGGACATTGACAACCTGAAAGAGGTACCTCGTGTGCTTGTTTGCTATACTCTTCCTTTATTTATATATATTTTTTTTAATGATAAGTAATGACAACCTTTGGTAACCTTTGGTAACAGAGTTTTATGAAGTTCACTTATGTCTATGTCTGTTTTTTTGCTAAGCAGCTGAAAGATTGCCCACAAAAGGTCCTAAACTTGGCTATACACTGTTAGAATTTTGGCCTATTCAAAGGAAGTAGACAAAATTCTAACAATGGGTGTCCCTACCAACTCGACAAGAGTCAATTACTCAGGGTTATGTTGAAGGTGTACTGAAAACTATTTGCCAAACAGTATGTACGGTCATTTAGCTGCAGTCATTTTTAGGTTTTCTGACAGCCAGTGCTAGTGCCTGTCAGAATACAGTAGTCCAGCAAGGAGGATTTGCCCATCCATACTGTTTTGTGTAGATTGAAAGCTGAGCAAAATAACTATGTTCGTGTAAGGCCAGCTTTATTGAGAATAGAATTGGAAAGTTTGGAGAGAGAGGGGGTTATCTTGGTGAAAAAGAAGAGGATAAGGGGGCAGAAAAAAAGTGTGTAATGAGTAAGGTGAGGGTTACAAAGTTTCACATCATCATACCTTTGTGTATGGTCTTCAGGTAAGGTTGTGTGCCACATGGATGCCCCTGCCATGATTCTTTTGGCAAATCATTGGATTTTTACAAGTTAGTTTCCAAACCACATCACTGAAAGTAGCAGAGATAACATGTTAGGGGATGAAGTCAATATCAAGTTCTCCTGAGTATATAAGAAGCATATGAGGCAGACAGACTGGAGGAAACAATGTTTTGTTTTGTAAATCACAGTTTAAGTACAGCTCAGGTATGCTATGAGAAAAACATACACATTTACCTCATTATAAAGGCCAACTCCAGCAAGCATTTGGAATAGTAGGAAAGAAGGAGCGCCCGAAGTCTAAGAGAATGCACTTTTGATGGTAGATTAAGAGGCATTTATTGAGATTTCATGTACTTGTTGTTATTCTCATAAATGCCTCTTAATCTACCATCAAAAGCACATTCTTTTAGACATTTGGCTCTCCTTCTTTCCTATTATTCCAAGTATACGTGTGGAAACAACCTTAAGGCCGTACCAGAAAGGCAACAGCCCAAACCCTGAGACAGTTTACTGCCAGTATACACGATTGGGCACAACCCAACTGGAGGAGCATCTCCCTACCCACCCACCTATGACCAGTGACTGATCCAGTCAGTCCAGCGCAGTCTTCAGCACAAACAAGATAGCTCCAGCAAGCATGGAAGGGTTAGATCCTCTAACTGGTATTGTTGTCTCCGCTGGGGAATATTCCCATCTCTGCTTTCATATAACAGGGGCTTGCAGAAACCCACAAGTGGGGACACAGGAAGTTTTAAGAAAAGATTGATTTCTGCTTTTCTTGACCTTGAGACTGTTGTTTTCTCTAATTTCACAAACGTAACCTCTTGTCGCTGGCGCCTCCCGGCCCTTTAAGAGTTTCAGAAGCTGGGGGTGGTGTTTTAGGGTCATGTGACCGCTGTGATTCGCCGTCACGGCGGTCACATGATCGGAAAAGGTCGGGACCTTTCCAGGAGTAGCAGATATACGTACTTGGAGCGCACAGGGTGCGCTCTCTCGGCACATATGTATTTTTTAATTGCACACAAATATGTGGCCATCAAGGCCCAGACGCCGAGAAGCCACATATTTGTGTGCGCTCGGCGTCAAGGGGTTAAACGGTGAGCATAAGTCCTTTGAATGGAATCACAGACAGCAATAAAAAGTTGACATATCCTAACCCTTACATAAAGCTGAACTAGGTAGATATAAAATACACAACTTATTTCAGCTCTGTATTTAATTCACAATTACATAAATTGGTAAATACAAGTAAGGAAATGTAAGCACCCTGATTTCAGCCTCTTGCAATGCATTGTACAGCAGAGCTAAGAAGCAGCACAAGGAGCCTGTCCGTTGTCCTGCAGCTCTCATGTACTAACAAAGAGCATGCTGATAGTAGGAAAGAACAGAGTAAGATGGTAAGTGAACTCATCAGTTGGCTGCTTCTACTTCAATATTCAGTCACAGGCTGAGGGGAGGAACAAAATCTAAGTGTTATTTAACTCCAGTAAAGAAAAATTACGATTCCTGCCCTGCCAGATAGAACTGTGTGTTTTGGCTGAGCGGTGTAAATCTCAGAAATGGATGGACATAAATATTAATCCTTTGGCAGGTAAGCAACTTGCTTATATTTTTTTTATCTGTGTATTTAGTTGTTTGCCTGGAGTTCAGCTTTATTTATTCCACCCCCAAAATAGTGAACAGCTCTTTCAAGGTGCACACTGTTTTATTTGTCACACAATTCGGAAACTCGGTTTTGTGAATCTGCTTGCTTTACTTCTGAGATCAGTTGGATCTCACTGCCTGTGTAATATACCCCCTATAGCAAGTGTTATCTTATCTATATTTCAGTTTCTTGTATTGTCCCTAAAATGCAGCATCATAGGACATCAAAGTAGTACCTGCCATCATCTATCACAGGCTGGTTTGAGAATATTCTCATAACCTGGTGACGGATGGAGACATTTATGTGCCCTTGGGTATCTTCGGTAATGCTTTGCCTGAGATGAGTTCAAACCTTTCTTTTTATAACCAATATATATTTTTTGCGGGTGCTCCTGTGTGATTTTCTTAGGATATCAAGCATTATTTTTTTACATTCCCTTATCTTTTAACTTGGTGTTTATGCATTTGCAAAAATAAACCGTTACCCAAAGGCAATTAGAACATGAAAAATAGATCAAATATATAAGCTTTGAACTACCCTACAAAATAAACAGGCCACCATTTTAAGGTGGCACGAATCTACCTGCACAGATGTGACACAGGCCCCTACACTGTAGCACAAAATAGGATTAGCTGCACGACTGTGAACTAACCACAGGCAATATGGAACTACAAAATTGTGACACAAACCCCAGCACAGTAGGTGTGTACCCAATCGGCAGCACAATTGTGACAGTCCATGCACTAGACTTGTTTATAGGTATATTTGCATGTCTATGTATGAAAATAATCAAATCAGCGTAACCGTATCTATTCGTTTATCTGTCAGTTGGGTAGGATATGAATACATCTACTGTGGCAGAGTACACAATTTTGGTTTAACAGTGCAGTTTGCTTTATCAAAACCTAGCCTTCAGCTATAGCACAGCCACCTTAGTCGGGATCTAACTGCATAACTGTTATCATACTATTGCATTTACGTATTAAAGGATAGTGTCTGTGTTTTATGAATGTTGTTTTTATAGGTATTATTGGTCAAAATGCCACTGTTTCTAGAAGTATAGGGTGAAATCGCTTTCCACAGCTAGACTCAACCTCCTTAAAGCGGAACTTTAACCATTAGCCGCCCGGCCAATAGCCGTTTGGCGGCTTCAAAAGTGTCTCTGCACTCCGGGTGCATGCCATTTGGCGTGCTCCCGCACATGTGCAGTTTGCGTTAATGCAGAGCGGCGCAGCAGTGCGATCTGTCACCGGCCGTGCACCTCGGACACGGCCGATGACAGATCCGAGTACCGGCTCCCGTTGCTGGTACCATGTGACCTGCTGTGACCAATCACAGCAGGTCACATGACAGTTGTATACAATGGATGGCTTCATTCATGATGCCATCCATTGTATACTAGTGCCTAGCTGTGAATGGTCACAGCTAATCACATGCACATGTCATGTGATTAGCTGTGACCAAATCACAGCTAAGCACAAAAAAAAAAAAAAAAAAAAAAAAAAAAAAAAGCTGAATCGATTCGATTTCATTCAGGTAAATGCTTGCTTATAGCAAAGTAATTCTTTGCTATAAGCAAATTGTGTAAAAAAAAAAAAAAAAATACTGATCACTTCCCCAAAGTAGTACAATGTTACTATGGTAACATTGTACTACTTTGGTCATAGTAAAATATGAAAAAAAAATCTTAAAAAATGTAATAAAAAATTAAATATAATAAAAAAATAAAAAAAATATATATATTTTTTTTTTTTTCATACTGTCACCAGTCAGTGTCCCTGTCACACGCCATGCCAGTTATATGATGACGCTGCACTGCACTGGTGACAGTATGTAAAAAAAAAAATAGTGAAAATAATTTTTTTAATTTTTTCATTTTCCAAAAAATTATGACAAAAAAATACAACTTCAAAAAACTCGCCATGCCTCTTATAAAGTACGTCGGACTGTCTACTCTGCAAAAAGGGGTCATTTGGGGATATCTGTACTATTCTGACATTCTTGGACCTCAAGAAATTAGATTGGCTCTCAGTACTTCAGGATTGATCAATATTCAGATCTATACCATAGTTTGTGAACTCTATAACTTTCCTACAAACTAAAAAATACATCCTAATTTGGGTTATTTTCACCAAAGACATGTAGCAGAATACATCTCGGCCTAATTATTTATTTGTAAACTTTTATAACAGAAACAAAGAAAAATTTTTTTTTTTTTTCAAAATTTTTGGTCTTTTTTTGTTAATTTAGCAAAAAATAACCCCAGCGGTGATTAAATACCACCAAAAGAAAGCTCTAGTTGTGTGAGGAAAATGATAAAATTTTAGTTTGGGTACAGTGTTGTATGACCGCGCAATTGTCATTCAAAGTGTGAGAGCGCTGAAACCTGAAAAATGGCCTGGGCAGGAAGGTGTAAAATTGCACGGTATTGAAACGGTTAATCAAAAAGGGAAATTTTGCTTGTTTGCCTTAGCCCCCCCTCACCCCTCTGCTTTGTAGCAATTGGCACTTTTTTTGGGGGGGGGTGGACGGGGAGTGGGTACCTGGTTATTATGGGTACCTGCTCCCACTTTCGGTCGGATCACCTCTGCGATCTGAGTGATAGTCCCCCCACACTCCTCCTCCCTACAGCCTTCTGGGACACATCACAGGTCCAAGAAGACTGCGGGACCATTCACAAAGCATAGCTTGCGCATGCGCAGTGGGAAACTGGCTGTGAAGCTTTAAAGCTTTTTTTTTTCCGGTTTCCCTTAGTTAGGATGCCGGTGCCAGGAACCTAAAGCCAATTGAAGAATCGGCTTGGGTGAGGACAGCACTGGATCCCTGGACAGGTAAATGTCCTTCTATAAAAAGTATGCAGCAACAGTATTTGTAGCTGATGACATTTAATTTTTCGGAGAGGCTGAAGCTCCTCTTTAAACATGATAGGCTTGGGGGCATTTCATGATATTAACCATTTGGCCTGGTATGCCACTGGGGGAGTGGCTTTTATAGTTAGGCTTCCTTAACACTGGAATCAGAGTTTACTGCACCTTGCTTTTCAGGGGAGCTTGAACACTGGTTTGCTTGGGGTTTTGAATAAGGTACTGTCTTCTCTTGAATGCCTGTTTATTCCAGTTTTCCAAGAGATTTTGAATTGCAATTCTGTGCTGCAACCACATGCCAAGCACAAATACTTGGATGTAAATGGTACTGCCTGCCAGACATGACATATGGGGGAGTTTTACTAAAACTGGTGCACACAGAATCTGGTGCAGCTGTGCAAAATAACCAGCTTCCAGGTTTTAATGTCAAAGCTTAACTGAACAAGCTGAAGTTAGAAGCTGGTTGGTTACTATTCACAGCTGCACCAGTTTTAGTAAATCTCCCCCAAAGTGTTACATTTTCTGCACTGTGAATCATCGCAGTTGCAGCAATGTATACACACCTTAGTGTTCACCATGTTATTTTGTAGTTAGGCGGTCAGATTGGTAGGCGGTAAAATAAGGATCAGCCACTTGTTTTTACTGACTCTTTGTTGCTCAGGTGAACTATACCTTAGGATCTAAAGATGTTGCAACCACAGAGAAAAATTAGAGTACACAGTAAAAGATCCTGAATTTGTTTGTAAACTGTACAGAAGGGCAGCATATAACTGCTTGTGATGTGGACATTCTCCTGTAGTGTCTGTTATTAGGTAAATCAGTTTTTTGTACAGAGATATGCCTTCAATGAGTCATTTAAAGTTGACAAATGCTGATCTTTCAGAAAAAGTACTTCACTGTGTTTGCCACTTGTGCTTTTGCGTATACTCATCAGGCTACACTGAGTTTACCCAGTTTTCAAAAGCCCAAAGCTTCTAAGCAGTTAGACGTCAGCATGTACATGTTTTGAAAGTTGACCTACCTGATTCACATTTAATATGTCTCGGACCTCCATGTTTCAAATTTAATATGTCTCTTTTTATTTAGTCATGCGGAGCAAATGATCATCTATTTTGCTGATACCTGCATATTGTGATTTTACTTGGCCAAAATATATCTAGTCATGTGAAAAAACATGGAAAAGCAATTAGTACATTCCCTTAATGACTTTCTGCACTAAATGCAAAGCTTTGTTTTCCTCCCTTGATGGGGAATTTGCTTTGTGTTTAGGGAATATGAATACAAAGTGCCATTTCTGTCCCAATGTTAATTAAAAACAATGTTCTTGCAGTGGCACGATGTATCTGCACGTTTTTTCCTCTGTATGTTGCAGTGTTAATGTGTTACTTCTTTTTTTTTCTTACAGGAAAATAGAAGGCTGAAAAATGAAAATGTTGACATTTTAAGAGAAAACTTAAGACTGAAAAATGAAGTAGAACTCCGTTCACCCCAAAAGTATGCATTTTCTGTGATATTCTATTGGCCACTTTTTGTCAATCCTTACTTTTAGAAATGTTAACAAACTTCACCAAAACAATATGTATATGATCAAGATATTAAAACCGAGAATAACACTCTTTTTTCCATATATAAAACAAAACAATGAAAGTAAAAAAATTTACAAAATGCAAATTTTTAGAGACCACCGCCTAAACTCCTTAACAGGCTGAAAGAAATCATCCATTTCTAGATCTATTAACACAGCTGGAATACATATCATATATGGAATGTGTTTTCCCATGTTTGTGATTCTCAAGCTAATCCTGACATTCCAGCACTTCTACCTAGCTGCACAACCAGATTCCCACTGTTCAATATAGCAAAGCTTGGTGAAAATGCACTCTGACAGCAGATGTGCATGCCGCAGAATATGATTGGATCCTAGGACTGGTTCTCCCTTTCCTTTGTGTGCATTTGTAAGGATAACAGGATGCTTTTATCAACACAGTTTCAACTATTTAACTAGTTTAACTAAAAAGTAATTTTGATTCTTTTCTTAACAAAGACATGACTGTGTTAAAGCAGAAGGCAAGACATCAGAAAAAAGACCTACATCAATAAAGAATCTCTTAGAGCAGCACTTCGGCTTTAAAACCTCATAAAGGTTAATTGTGAAAGTATCATAAAATTGTTTTCTGATATTGGGTCACGCAATCTTTCTGGTCTCTTCCTGTTTTAGAAGATGCAAACTAGGAGGAGAAATCGATGCAGAAGCTCAAGTTGGTAACGTGATGCAGGCACATGACACTTGGACTAAATTTTCTTTGGAGAATTCTTTGTTTGTGCAACTGCAAATCCCCTCTCCTGGTGAAGTGGCCTGGGCTGCAATGTGTGGAGACACGTCCCACCTAACATGCCATCTTACTCTTTATTTTTCAGCTACGTAGGGGAGAAACCATCTTGCCTCTTATACAGGTTACTATTTATATTCAGACATTTTGAGGAGTGACTATTTTTATGCTGTGTTTTTCCAGCAGCTGAACACAGTTTATTGCTGACTGGTGTTGGTCCTTCATTTGGGGTTTGATTTTAAATGGTTTTATTGGGATTTGGAATATATGTTCCTTGTAATATGACTTTTCTAATTCCTAATAAAGAATATTTATTGTTATTATCCTGAGGGTTTAGAATACTGTTCTTTCACATGATCATTACCTCCAATGGATGACTCCAGCAGCTGGCAAATACAGGAATTTTTTAGCTAGTTACCAAAGGTCAGTTACTCAGCAGCTGAGGTACATGTCACTCGAATTGCTGCAAAATATGTCGCTCTGTATCAAAAGTAATCAAAAGGTAAGACAGCTGCAACTAGAAGCATTGGGGTGGGACAAGTCACAATATACAGATTGGTCCCAGACTTCCCAACATTTATTAAACTTCAGGAGAGTATCATCGGCAGTTGCAATAAGGTATTCCATTATCCAGATGTCAACTATAATGTTTAAAAGTTGAAGCTTAGAAGGTGGGTCAGTGGACAACCAGCACAGAGGGGTCAATCAGTGCATGAGGAGTTAATGTCTCCTTGAACATGCCTTCTGCACAAGCCAAATGGGGGATAATGAGTAAGTGTAATTTTCAGAAGCAAAGTATATAGAGCAATCCCATAGCGTAATACTGTACAGGTTCTTTTATTTAAGTGTGTAGTGCATACTCACAGAAATGTTGGGCATCAAGCATATCTCAAACCATAGCAATCCTATTGGCAAACAGTGCGGACCTGGCTGTCAATCAACTCAGCGTGCATGATGATGTCACTCTCATAGGCTCCACCCTATGTGTTTCGTCACAGATTACATTATTAGGGGGACAAGCTTGTTCCCAGTCAGTGACGTGAATCTTCAGAAACAATCCAGAGTGGAAGCTACCATATTCCTCTTTGCAGGTATACAGCAGTCCATGTATCGGTGTAAAGACTGTATTAGTTTGTGTTCTTTTTCACATTTTCTTTATTCAGTTTTTGATATTGAGGAATTCCTCTGGCTGCATTTACTCAAGTACTCTCACTGGTTCTTTAAGATCATTTCACTAACATTAATTAAGAATGTTTTCACATTCTGATTTAATTAAAGATATTAATGACTAAGCTGTAATTAGCCTACAGATATAAATTATGCAGATTTTACTATGATTTATACACAAGGGCTTTCAAGAAAAAAAGGACAAAGGAAAAACTGATGGTGTTTCTGATTTATTATTTCATTGATGTGTTGCTTCAGTGGTGCTGAATACCAGTGGAAAGTGTGAAATCCAAATCTTTTCTGTATGTACTTCATTAATACTTTCTGTTCCTGTTAGCTAAAGAAGTGTGCTCTTCCAACATCCATCTAATTACAAAGAAAATGTAAATTATACACTGTGCTCCACATTAAAGTGGTGGCCTAAATTTCATGTTTGGAAGCTTATTTTGTATGGCTTTTTAAATAATGGTAAATCATTTTGTAAATTAATTTAGTTTTTTCATGATATTGAGTACTAAGAGCGTAGCATCTGTAAGGTTTGAAGAGCAGCTCCAAGCAACAAGTGAAGTCAGTAAAGTGTTAGCACTGTAAAGGGAAACCTTGCAATTAAGCTGAATTCCATTGTCAACTCAATTTACCGTATAAAGATTATTTGCTATGATTTTTATGTTTTGTGCAGGATTTTCAGCCTCTGCCCATTGTATCACTTAATTGTGTCTTGTGCAACCTGCTTCTTACAGTGAAGGAAATAAATATTTGATCCCCTGCTGATTTTGAATGTTTGCCCACTCACAAAGAAATGATCAGTCTAAAAATCGAATGGTAGGTATATTGTAACACTGTGAGACAGAATAGCAACAGAAAATTAAAAAGAAATGCATGTCTCTAACAAAGGATGCACTGATTTGCATGTTCATGAGGGAAATAAGTATTTGATCCCCTATCATTCAGCAGGATTTCTGGCTATCAGGTGTCTTTCATACAGGTTACAAGCTGAGATTAGAAGCAGTCTCTTAAAGGGAGTTCTGCTAATCTCATTTTGTTACCTGTATAAAAGACACCTGTCCACAGGAGCAATCAAACAATCCGATTCCAAACTCTCCAAAGGCCAAAGAGCTTTCCAAGGATGTCAGGGACAAGATTGTAGACCTACACAAGGCTGGACTGGGCTACCAAACTATTGCCAAGCAGCTTGGAGAGAAGATGTCAACAGTTGGTGCAATCATTCGCAAATGAAAGAAACACAAAACAACTGTCAGTCTCCCTAGGTTTGGTGCACCATGTAAGATCTCACCTTGTGTAGTGTCAATGATCATAAGAACAGTGAGGAATCATCCCAGAACTACACGTGAGGATCTCGTCAGTGATCTCCAAACAGCTGGGACCACAGTCACCAAGAAAACAATTGGTAACACACTACTACGCCGACAAGGATTGAAATCCTGAAGTGCCTGCAAGGTCCCTCTGCTCAAGAAAGCACATGTCCAGGCCTGTCTGAAGTTTGCCACTGAACATCTGAATGATGCAAAGGAGGACTGGTTGAAAGTGTTGTGGTCAGATGAGACCAAAATCCAGCTCTTTGGTATCAACGCAACTCGCCATGTTTGGAGGAGGAGGAATGCTGCCTATGACCCCAAGAACACCATCCCAACTGTCAAACGTGGTGGAAACATTCTGCTTTGGGGGTGTTTTTTTCTGCTAAGGGGACAGGACAACTGCACCGCATCAAAGGGACGATGGACGGGGCAATGTACCGTCAAATCTTGGGTGAGAACCTTCTTCCTTCAGCCAGGGCATTGAAAATGGGTTGTGGATGAGTGTTCCAGAATGACAGTGACCCAAAACAAACGGCCAAGGCAACAAAGGAGTGGATCAAGAAGAAGCACATTAAGGTCCTGGAGTGGCCTAGCCAGTCTCCAGACCTTAATCCGATTGAAAATCTGTGGAGGGAGCTGAAAGTTCAAGTTGCCAAACGTCAGCCACCAAACCTTAATGAGGATCTGCCAAGAGGAATGGGCCAAAATCCCTCCTGAGATGTGTGCAAACCTGGTGGCCAACTACAGGAAACGTCTGACAACGCCAACAAGGGATTTGCCACCAAGTACTAAGTCATGTTTTGTGAAGGGGATCAAATACTTATTTCTCTCATGAACATGCAAATCAGTGCATCATTTGTTAGACATGCATTTCTTCTGAATTTTTTGTTGCTATTCTTTCTCTGTGTTACAATACACCTACCATTCGATTTTTAGACTGATCATTTCTTTGTGAGTGGGCAAACATTCAAAATCAGCAGGGGATCAAATACTTATTTCCTTCACTGTATGCTGCAAGTTTTATGTTTTTTTTTTTTTTTTTTTGTTTTTTCTTTTTAGAAAATATTTTATTAGGTTTTTAAGAGTACAACACAGAGCCTCTGGGCATACACCAGCTCAAAATGGTACAACAGAGAAACAATAAGATGCTAAACAACCTCAACTAGGCAACTCCCCAGTACACTCAACTACCATGATAGTTATAGGGTCCTAAAAGGAGCATGTATGTGTTAAAAGGGGGCATATTATCCAAAATCCCCAGCTCAAGCACTCACTTTACGTTATGAATAAAATTCAGAGGGTCAGTCAATTATAATCTGGGCACTATTCACAGGGCAGAAGCAGAGCCTCCTTATTTGAAGGATTCTCTCCCTTTTTCATGTAGCATTAGTGTTAACAGTAGATGATTCTAGCCAAATGTCCCATATTTTATTAAACTTGTTTGGGCACCCCCTTGAGATACAAGTCAGTTTGTAAAGTGGAATAACTGAGTTTCCTAGTACTTTCCAGCTATTCAATGACAGGGTATTCAATGACACTTTAGCCTTCCTGGCATAGAAGAGCAACAACCCAAGCAGTGTTCTAGTCGTCCTAGTAAATGCTAAAGCATTGACCAGGCCCAGTCAGCACACCTCCACTGTTTGGGGCTTCTTGTTATGAATTCTGACCAAAACTCGTTAATATTAGGACAGTGCCAAAAAATATAAAAGAAGTCAGCTGGTGTGTCTCCCACAACACCAGCATTGGGGGGGTGATACCTCAGGATGCATTTTTTGTAGTCTGGATGGGGTCAAATATTTTAAATTGGATCAGTTTCTCTTGTTGCCACCAGCTGAGAGAGAGGGTAGTCCCAAATGTCCTCCCAATCCTCTGCATCTAAGTTCTCAACCTCTCTTCGCTACTTCGCTTGTAGTGGGTCGAGATCCTCATTTATCAAGGAAAGGAGCACTTTGTAAACTGTTTATAATGGTTTTGCTAAGGAGGGATCCCTTAAAAGACTCTCCATATCATGAGCCAACAAATGTAATGGATCAGTATTAAATTGTGGGCGAAAGGCATGGCGACGTTACAGAAACCTGAAAAAGTGGGAGTTTGGTAGGTCATGTTTAATTTTAAGTTGGTCAAAGGTAACCAAGGACCCCCTATCCTATATGCCACTTAAGTATTTATTACTCTTCAAGGCGCAGCAGACCGGGGGGTCAAGGAGGGTCTCAAATTCAGGCAAGGTAGGGTTATACAATAGTGGAGCATGCAGAGACCAGAATGAAGAGGTTGGAGAACACTTGGGCAAGGTTGAGCATCAAGCCCTAATGACTGCTTTCATTGACTGTTTAAGAGGTGAGAATGAGGCTCGCTCCCCATGATACAGTAGGTTGCATAGTGTTTTGAAGGAACCTGCATGGTTCACTTCTAACACCACAGAAGTGTTGGTGTCATCTGAGATCAGCCAGTTTTGGGCATGGATAAAAGGGCAGCTAAAAAGTACGTATGAAGGTCAGAACAGGGTAATCAGTTTTTATATTTAATCACTTTTTTCATTGAGTGTTTGTGGATGATACAGAAATGCAGATTAGATTACATATTTTGTCAAAACATAAGCTTTCAAACTTGTACAACTAAGGGTTGTGACATTCACAGTACAGTGTATAACAAAGTAGTAATGAGCAGCGTAAACTGTACAGATGTATCAGGTACATTATCAGAACCTTTCAGGTTGTCAAAGACGGTTAAGTTGTGCCACAAAAAAATGGCAAGTGGAGGGGAGACGGTGCTCCTATAGATAAGGAGACCCGTCGTTCACACCATGTATAACTGAGGGTACGATATTGGAGATAGCATTTAATTCGGTAAAGTCATTAATCTGTTGAGATATACGTAGAAGACATAAGGAGAAAAGAGAGAGAAGTAAAATGAAGGTGGAGGAAGGAAAGAAGATGAAAGGGACAATGGGAGGTTCCTAGAGGTAACTGGGTCTTTATACCTTTGGCAGGAGGAAGGGGCCAGGAGCACCAGCAGGGGACCTGCAAAGAGAGAGATTGGGGCTGCTCTGTGCAAAATATATGTTTTGTTATTAAATAAAGTGCCTTTTTACTTTACGTGCTGGATAATTGGTGATTATCTGATGTTGACACACTCATTTGCTCAGTGTGCTCCCAGTAAGGTATTAGACAACATAGGATAAGTCTCATTTTGATAAATGATTTACAACTCTTGCATGTGGCTGACCCCTTATTTACAGAGCCATTACAGGATGATAGGAGAAATGTAGCTGTATATAATGACCCTATTTATTAAAGGAGTAGAGCATATTAACTTTGCAAAGTGAATTTTTACTTTTGCAAGGACATTTTCACTTAGGTTAGTGTGAATGTAGGGAAAATGTCATGACTTCAGTCATGTAATTGTGCAAGCAACAACCTACACCACACTGTACATACAAAAGTGTTCGACCTCCTGGACTCTGTAATCAGACTCCATAATAGAAATGGTCAGACCAATCCCCTCTCTCTTTCTGAAGACACTTGTGATGCTGTTACTTGGCTATGTCAACATAAAGCACTGGAGCAGGCAGCATTTTAGGCAATTTCCAAGCAGAAATCAGACACAAATTATAGCATGTGGTGGTACAGGATTATAAAACTATAAAAAAAAGATTTTGAGACTTCAGTTGGTCTTTAAACCTTGATTCGAAGTCATGTTATATGCATGGCATTTTGATTTTCTGAATAGAACCATATAATGCAGTGAGGTACAATCACATTATTTGAGTTACTCGTCAAATAATTATTGGAGATTGTTTTGTGAAGAAGAGATAATCAGATCTACAATCGTAAAGCAGTTTTACTATGTGAAGTTGCAATCGTAATTATTTTGCATCACTTCTTAGATTTTTGGGTTATGATCGCTATTTTTTTTCTTTATATTTGCCATCATTCACATTCTGACCAATATGGACTTGCCGTTTTTAAAAAATGAATTACTTTTAATACAAATAATTTCTGGGCAGTTTGTATTGGATGTTATAGTGACAAGGGAATCTACTGATTAAATATTCCTGAGTATCTTTTGTAAGGCTCTCTTTCTATCGGGTCTTTTCAGATTTGAAATTAAACTTTTCTGTCTTTTTTCTTTTGTTCTCTGATTTCAGATTTGGACGGTTTACAGTGGCTGCATTGCAAGCTAAAGTAGATCAGTATGAAAGAGAGATGAGCAGACTTAAAAAAGCTCTAGAGAGGAGTGATCAATACATTGAAGAACTGGAAGCGCAGATTGTACAGCTGAAAAGGCCACCAGAGGATAAGCAAATAGAAAAATCTCAGGTGGAAATACTGCCCTCATGGAGGAACATGCTGGCAGAGCTGCAGCTAGTTACGTCTGTCAAGATGTTAGCACTGCCAGATTATTTCCAAAGTACAGCAATGATGATGGAATCTATTCCAATGACTCCAAAGGCCTTTGCCCTATTTCAGTGAGATTAAAGCAAGCACAGTCTAAAACTGTTGACTCACCTAAACTGAAAAATGGTTTACATTCCACTGTTTGGAATGGTGAAGAACAAACTAGCTTGGATAGAGACAATCTTAGTAAGATCACAGTTTCAATGTCTCAAGACCTGGGAAGCCCTTCTTCATCCATACCTTTCAGCTCTCTTCAGCTGAATACCCCAAACTGCAAAACTAGCTCTTTCAGCAATACAAATTTAAAAAAGCCACTAACATATCTTAGAAAATTAGTGTTTGATGACTTGCCTCAAAGGCGAGAACTTGGCAGATTGGCACCTGCAAGTACTGAGCACAATGTAAATGGTGCTGATGGAACAACACAACCTGGGCAAACAAATGCCATATTTTCTAATTTTTGCCATATTAATGGAGACTTACAGGACAAGAATTCTGAAAAGACAGACAGTAGTTTACAGTTCAGAAAACAAGGGAGGAATGCAGCAGATCAAATTTTAACCAGGTTACATACCAGAAGTGCAGAAGACTTAAACCACCCTGGGACCTCATGTGAAAACACTGCAGATGTAAAGTTAAATTATGACAGTGTTGATCCCAATAATGTGGGTTCCCACCTGGAAAGCCAAAGAAATGTTCCTCATACAAGTGTTCCCTGTTCGACACCAGACTGGGTCAAGCAGTTTCAAAGTGACTCTCCAATTCACATGTGTAAATCCTCTGAAACCACTGCACTGTCTCATCATGAAAGCAGTCTGTTCAACTCACTGCCCTCTGCTGTAGCTGACCATGAAGAACAAGCAGATTTGTTTATGGCTCAGTCATCTACTAATAGGTATAATATAGATTTCAATAACGACTTGCACTCAAATGATTTACCTTGTGAAGAGGAAGTCAGACCTCATGCTCATTCTAAAAATATCCTCTTTCCGGGATCTATTTCTGAGTCATCATGTCTATCTTCCTCTCAAATCTACAGTGGGAGTCCTCCAGCAAAACGAAAGCTACTAAACCCATGTAATAACAGCCCTGCAAAATCCTCCAAACACTGAACCTGCATCCTCCCTCACATCATGTCATTAGAAATTGGTGTGATTCATTTAGAAGATGAATATGCTTGTAAAATATCCAGTGACTGCTCTATTTGATACACAGAATTTGATACACGTCTATTTTTCTATACGTAACTTTTAAGCTGCAATAAAGGGTTTTTAACTGATTTGAAATTATTTGGATTTTTACTTTGATCAGCATTTTAGTGTTCTTCTGATGTTCTGGTACAAAAAATACCTAACCCTTCTCCACTCTGTCAAAAAAAAGAATAGCTGGAGTTATGCGTTAAGCTCTTTGACTATGAACTAATGAAAGGCAATACCTTTAGAAAGCATTTTGTAAACTTCCCCTGTGTATTAAGCTCTTAGGTGCTATCAAAATGCTTTGTCTATTTAAACATGAATAGAATTTTGTTGCAAAAAGCAGGTACCCAAAATCATGTGAACTTTTAATTGACAAGTTGAGTCTGATTCACGCCTGACCTATAATTACAATACCTGTCTGTAGTTACATACTTTAAAAGATAACAGCCTGTTCTAAATGAATGGACTGCTAATGCATAACAGAAGGAAAATTCAGTGTATCACTATGCGCTTTATGGGCATTGTGCTACATTATGGTGCAGGTCTGTCAGCACTCACTGTACATGTGCATTGGGTTCCATTCTAAATGTATGACACTATAATGCAAAGAATAATTCTGGGCATTACTGTAACACAGGAATTTTAAGATCTGAAACCATCCTAAATATTTGAGTTATGTTTAGTAAAGATAACCCAGCATCAAATATTTGTTTATTAAAACTGACTTTATTTTTAACTACTACTAGTATTTTACTAGTATTTTCTGGCGTATAAGACTACTTTTTATACTTAAAAATATACCCCAAAAATTGGGGGTCGTCTTATACGCGGGGTATAAAATGTGAAAATGGAGTTTGTTTGGGTCAAGCTGGCTGGATGTGTGGTAATACTGTACATACAGTATACCGTGCTGAGCCAAGCTGGCTCAAAACAAATGTCCCCATGACAGATTAATCTGTCAGCCCGCTGGATGTGCGCTATATACAGTATACTGCGCTGAGCCAAGCGGTTTCAAAACGTACCGGTACATCCCTACTGTAATCAGACCGCTGGATGCGTGTATGTACAGTATCTGCGGCTACATACAGTATACACTGGGCCAATCACGGCGAGTGATGTATACTACTAATGAATACAAAGCCTGCTCGGATTGACTGAGTCAGAAAGGTGGGCTGATGTCACAGGTTTTGAAACAGCTTGGCTCAGTATACTGTATATACCACAGTGGTATATACTCAGTATACTGTATATACCGCACACCCCAGCGGGCTGACAGATTAAAATGTCATAGGGACATTTGTTTTGAGCCAGCTTGGCTCAGCGCGGTATACTGTATGTACATTACTGCACATCCAGCGGGCTGTATATATACTGTATACTGTATGTAGCCAAGCTAAGCACATCCAGCAGGCTGTATATATATACTGTATACTGTATGTAGCCCGCACATCCCGAAGCTAGCAGGCACATCCAGTATATATATACTGTATACTGTATGTAGCCGAAGCTACCGTATTACCGCACATCCAGCGGTAACCATCTTATTTAGAATTTGATCCATATGATGACTGTCTTACAAATGTATCACAAGATGTCATTCATGAACTTATGATGCCAGAGGATGAACATAAGGATTTTAAGTACCGGTAAGTCATAACCATTTCAATAAAAAAATCTGATTGTTTTTAAATGGTGTTGCCTCGGAAGGGGGGTAGTCTTATACGGCGAGTATAGCCCAAAACCTATGTTTTAACTGGAAAATTAGGGGGTCGTCTTATATACCCAGTCGCCTTATACGCCGGAAAATACGGTACTCTAAATGAAGGAAATAAACCTAGACTCTAAGAATTCACATTGATTTTCACAACTGCATCAGGTTATTTTATATAAAAAATGTTGATGTTCCCTTAAAGCGGCAGAGACATTCCAACACTGTTCATCTAAACAGTAACTTTCACAAGCCAAAATAATTTAATAACTAAGGCCTTATGCACATGGCATTTTGCAGCCACTTTTAGGGGCATCAGGAGGTTTTGTTATTTTTTTTTTTTTTTACTGCATCCAAACCGCCCTCCTTGTTTTTCTATGTGTCCATGCATACATAGACTTTTGGAAGCTTTTAGTAACAGTAGCATTTACCAGCAGGAGAAAAAAACCCAGGGCCAGTGCTTCCTGCAGCAGCAGCTGTTTGGCAGAAAAAAAACTCTTTGGCGCGTGTAACACTAGGCGCATTTAGTGATTGAGCGTTAATTCATTTCAATGGCCAGTATAAATTATTATTCTGGCCAATTAAATGATTTAACACCCAAGCACCTGTCGCCTGTAAACGTGCCTAAACGCTTGTAAAAGCGTTAGACACTTTGAGAAGTGTCAGGCGTTTTTTCTGCCAAAATGCTGCTGCCAAGAGGAGGAGCATTTTTAAAATTCCCTGTGTGCATGAAGCGTTCACTTCATCATCATCATTATTATTATTATTGTTATTACTATTATACAGGATTTATATAGCGCCAACTGTGTGCTCAGCATTTTACAATATAAAAGGAGACAATACAGCAATGATACAATTTAATATAAGAGGGTTAGGAGGGCCCTGCTCCTTTGGAGCATAAAATCTAAGAGGGAGGGGCTAGTGGTACAAAAGGTAATAACTGGGGGGGGACAACCTGATGGGAGAAATAGAAGATTTGGTTATTAGCTGAAGGCAGGATAGGCTTTCCTGAAGAGCTAGGTTTTCAGAGATCACCTAAAAGTGAGCAGAGTAGGCAATAGTCAGATTGGGGTAGAAAGTTCCAGAGGATGGGGGAGGCGCTGGAGAAGTCCTGGAGACAAGTAAGCTATAGAGCAGGAGGTTGTGGGAGGAGCGGAGAGGACGGTTTGGGTGATATTTGGAGACAAGATTGATGATGTAATTGGGGGCAGAGTTATAAATGGCTTTATGTTATTGTTAATGTTTTGAATTTTATCGGTTGGGCAATGGGAAGCCAGTGGAGGAATTGGCAGAGAGGGGTGGCAGATATGGAACGGTTTGGTAAGGTGGATGAGTCTGCCAGCAGCATTCATAATAGACTGAAGAGGGGATAGCCTGCAATTAGGTAGGCCAATGAAGAGGGAGTTACAATAGTCAAGGCGAGATATAACAAGGGAGTGAAAAAGTTGATAGGTGGTTTTGGTGGTTAAAAACGGGCGTATCTTGGGGATGTTACAAAGGTGAATTCTACAAGATTTGGACAGTGATTGGGGCTGAAAGGACAGATGAGAGTCCAGGATTATCTCTAGTATCCTGGCATGAGAGGAGGGACTGATGGTTGTATTATTGACCTTGATGGAGAAGCCAGGGGATGGGGCACGGGCTGGAGGGAATAGTATGAGTTCCAATTTATAAAGATTAAGTTTGAGGAAGTGGAGTGACATCCATACTGATATGTCATTTAGTAGGTTAGTAATGGTAGAGAAGACTGAAGGGGTGAGGTGAGGAGTAGAAAGATAGATTTGCTTCATAAAGTAAAAATAACTTCCAGTTATCTTTACCCTCATACAAGACTGTGGGGCTTAGTTATAGAATATGTAAACCCAACATTTCATATTCCAGATATGTGCTTGCTGTACCATGTACTTGGATGAAAAAGTATCCTCAGTGTCCCTGCCAGTCCCTCTGCTTTCCTATTAAAAACTGATCACACTAAGTAGGAAAGCACAGCGTTGTCAGTTCTCTAGCTGTGCTGGGAACTCAGCCTGCTCTCCTCCAATGATTAGACTTGATCTGACACCGCCCCCACCCCACATAAAAAAAAAGAGAGAGTGTGTGTATGTATATATGTATGTGTATATATACAGTTGTGTTCAAAATAATAGCAGTGTGTTTAAAAAAGTGAATAAAGGTCAAAATCCTTCTAATAGCTTTTATTTCCATACACACAAATGCATTGGGAACACTACACATTCTATTCCAAATCAAAACATGGAGAAAAATATATCAAATTTGTGTTGTTCCTCTAAAAAAAACTGAAGAAAAGTGAATATTAGACTGTTAAAAAAAAAATAGCAGTGTTTGTATTCTTCTTTACAAACTCAAACATTCACTATATAAACTGAAAAATGTTTGAAGATTTTGCTTTCCTTTGAATCACTTAATTAATATTTAGTTGTATAAGCACTGTTTCTGAGAACTGCTGTACATCTGTGTTGCATGGAGTCAACCAACCTCTGGCACCTGTGAACAGGTATTCCAGCCCAGGATGATTGGACTACATTCCACAGTTCTTCTCTTTTTTTTTTTTGGTTTTGCCTCAGAAACTGCATTTTTGATGTTACCCCACAAGTTTTCTATTGGATTAAGATCCGGTGATTGGGCTGGCCACTCCATAATGTCAATCTTGTTGGTCTGGAACCAAGATGTTGCACGTTTACTGGTGTGTTTGGGGTCGTTGTCTTGTTGGAACACCCATTTCAAGGGCATTTCCTCTTCAGCATAAGGCAGCATGACCTCTTCAAGTATTCTGATGTATTCAAACTGATCCATGATCCCTGGTATGCCATAAATAGGCCCAACACCGTAGTATGAGAAACATCCCCATATCATGATGATTGTGCAACCATGCTTCGCTGTCTTCACAGTGTACTGTGGCTTGAATTCAGTGTTTGAGGGTCGTCTGACAAACTGTGTCCGGCCACTAGACCCAAAAAGAACAATCTTACTTTCATCAGTCCACAAAATGTTGCGCCATTTCTCTTTAGGCCAGTCAATGTGCTCTTTGGCAAATTGTAACCTCTTCAGCACGTCTTTTTTTCAACAGTGGGACTTTGCGGGGGCTTCTTGCAGATAGCTTGGCTTCACATAGGCGTCTTCTAATTGTAACAGTACTCAGAGGTAACTTTAGACCTTCTTTGATCTTCCTGGAGCTGATTGATTGTTGGCT